GCAAAACTTTTCAATAGAATGGAGAGGTGTTAGAACCCACTCGGTTTTTATTGCTGTCTGTGCCCCCTTTAACAAGATTCCCCCTCTCTATTTGTCCCGTTTACCATTATCATTGAAAGTAAAAGTAAACAAAATCCCAAATTGTGGGTTATCCCCAAAAAATGGGAAATCTTCCAATGGGGACACTAGTTCAGGTGACCTGGGGACCCTTAATTTGCAGGGATTTCCTCTCTCTTCCTGTTTGGCTATGGGACAGGAAGTGAAGTAAAATCTCTGAAATGGGACACAGATGGCAAAAAAAAACAATATCTGACAGGGGTTATAACCCTCGCTCGTTCTACCCAAAATGAAAAAAAAAAATGCTTATAGTTCTTTGTTTTTCAAAATTGTCTGTCTTTTTTTTTATAATGCAAAAAGTAAAAACCACATTGGTGGTCAAATACCACCAAAAGAAAGTTCTATTTGTGTGAAAAAAGGACATAAATTTAATTTGGGCGCAGTGTTGCATGACCGCACAATTGTCAGCTAAAGTAACACAGCGCCTTATCATAAAAAATGGTCTGGTCAGAAAGGGAGGTAAATCTTTCAGAGCTGAAGAGGTTAAACAAGCTGAAGTTAGAAGCTGATTGGCTACCATGCACAGCTGCACCAGATTTTTACACTCTCTGGTTTTAGTAAATCAAACCCCCTTGACTTCTTACACTTAAAAGCCTGGAAAAATATCTTTTGTATTGCACTTATGTGTCTTGAAGAGTTAAGCTGTCTGTGGATTCTACTGAATCAGCAAGTGGAATCTAAGAAGGTATGTCATTGCATAAAAACAAAACATAGCGAGACGTGTCTGAACAATGACCTTCGTGGCATGGACAGCAGGGATTCTTTTAATGTTGGAGGAATGCTTACATTAAGGGCTCCATGTACACTGCAGCTGCTAAACTGACATTTAGGAGCTGTTGAGCGTTTTTTTTCAGCAGCCCCAGAACTCTCCCTAATGTTTTCCTATGTGTCCATGTACACATCGTCGTTTACAGGCATTTGAGTTTACAGTTGTTTTTTTGAACGCACCAACCGCTTGTAAATGCTTGTAAGGGCGGTTAACTGTGTTTATAATCGTTTGCATTTAGAACCGTTTTTTAACTGTTCCTTATCCAGATGCTGTCCAGAACCGTTTTTCATCATCAGAAATGCATGCAAACCGCTTTCCATGTATTCAAGTGGACCCGGTACACCAGTGCAGTCAGTTCCAGGTTTCGCGTGAAGTCAGTGCCGCATTATGCTCATGATGGGATCCATAGTGAATACAACCAGAAAAGACAGGTCATCTCAACACATACTGCTCTCTCTGCTTCTGCTCTCTCTATTTCTCTCAAAATGTCTGAAATAGTTAATGTTTTACTGTTTTTCAGTGCATTCTGGGCATTTTGGAAGGTCTCCTGATGTTATCTTTAAAAAACGCTTCTAAACGCAAACGCATATAAACGCGGTATGCAAATGCGGCTAAACTGCCGTTTTTTAACCTACATTTTCCAGCAGTCAGTTTCCATCGTTCAGAAGAGTTTTCCAAACGCCCCGCGTACATGAGCCTTGAAAATGTATCTGAATCTCAAACTACTTTTTTTTCCTTTTGCTTTGAATAGAGAGGGGTTTGAATGTGTGCTGCCAGTGTTCCATTAGGGAGCTGCAGTCTGTTTGTCCTGATGACCATTGTCAATGGGACTGTGAGGGAAACCTTAAAGTACAACTCCAGCCAATAAATAGATAAAAATAAAATAAACAGATAAAAGTGAATATTTTATTAAAAGATAAAATAAAAAAAAAACAGTTTTTGCTGCAATATTCAGCTTCAATATAAAACATTCCCCCTGCAATATTCGTTTTCTGCCACTAGATGTCCTCTGTGAAGGCCAGCACCATGCAACCCACTTCCTCTGAGCAGCACAGTGATGGGATTATCTCTGTCACTCTGCGATCTCCTCCTATCAGCATGCTTCTCTAGTCAGCACATTAACTGATTGGCTCCAGGTAGAGCTGCTTCCTCTCACATTCCGGCTGTGCAATTCTGGGACTGCAAGAGGCTGACACAGAGCAAATTCAGGTTGTTTGCATTTAAAAACACGTTTAATGAACTATTAATGAATACAGAGCTGCATTAATTTGTGTATTCTGTATCTGCCTAGAGTTCAGCTGCAGCATTCTGAGTTGTAAACAGAACAAGAAGAGAGGGTCGGTCTTTCCATTGGGGACGCCTGTTCTAGTGTAAGTTGGAGGGAATTTCCTTCACTTTGTATTCGTTGAGTAAAGTATTGTAAAGGCCCGCAATACTTACCTATATATGTGATGACATGACATGGCTGGCCTCGAGTCTCCTATATTGTTCCCTGCAGAGGAGGGTCCTTTATCAGGTTTCCACATCACTGTGACATGCACACTTCCTATTGGCTGTCCAGGGACTGGGTCCTATTGGAATTCATTAGACTGCAGCTGCGTGATGACGTCACAGAAAGGTAACCAGTCTGTGGTGATGGACTGCAGCCTCAGATCCAACATTGTCACTTTTACACGCGGATCCATCAGTGGACACAGACACCCTCTGAAGGTATTTACTCTTTTAATTTCTGCTAAATTGGAAAATGGTGGTGGGAGGAATAGAATGGGGAAGGGGGGGGGGGGGGGGGGGGGTTGGGGGTGTAGCCCAGAGATGGGCTTTAGAGCAATATTAACCCAAAAGCAAACATTTTCTATATTGCAGCTTACCAACTCTTAGATGTGGTGGCTGCATTAGTTTTATTTTTCAGTCACTCTTTCCTTTATTTTTACCTGGTGATCCTGCCAGTAAAGCAGCTCATAGGTGATTCTTTTTTTTTTTTTCATTCAACCAGCGGGTTGAAAGAAAAAAAAAACACTCCATTCCCTCCTCCCACACACTCAGTGGGGGGGGAATCCTCCCACTGATCCTTTGTATTCTGACAGGACTACCCCGCCGTCACACTACACTGATCTCAGCTGCTGGCTATAGCCAGTGACACCGACTGAGTGGCAAAAATCCAACAGGGTGGTTGTACAGAAGTTGATTGATAGATTGACATCTGTACAACATCCCTGCCCATACATGGATCAAAATATGGCCCTGCTGAAACATGTATGGTCCATGTATGGCCAGCTTACATCTGTGGTTTTCAACAGACCAAGCTGTCCTACAGATGAAGCCGTTAGAGTGTTGAGACAAACCATTTACAGGGGTGCTTATAATGATCATCTTTTATTTATATAAAACCTTTATCCCAAAAGGAAAAAAAACTGTTGCTGCAATTGGTTATAGTATTAGCTGGAGTTTGGCTTCAATTTGTTAGTGTATTTAAATCTACTAGTACATATATCACTTCCACCCACCCCAGACTGACAATGCTGCTGTCCAGAGGTGTCACTGTTGCTCCTTTATCCAGAGTGCAGACATCATGAATACTGGAGGTGTGTTAGTGGCCAGATTACCAGGTGGGAACAGAGGGAAAAGAGTATAAAAAAAGAGAACTAATGCAGCCACCACATCCAATGATTGGTAAGCTGCAATATATTACATTCTTGGCTTTGGATTTATACAGCTTTAAGGTACACGTGGAATCATTTTTAAAATGTAGGTGTGTGCCTACACCATTTCCTCAATACGAAAATGTAATATACTGCAGCGTTCTAATCATTAGATGTGGTGGCTGCGTTAGTTTTTCTTCCCCCCCCCCCCCCATTTTATTTTTACCTGGTGATCCAGCCAGTGACATACTCCCTGTATTAGAGTGTCCCCACTCTGGATAAAGGAGCAATGGACAGCCCTGGGACAGCAGTATTGTCAGTCTGGGGAGAGGGGAGTATTAGATTTTCCAGCAGATTTACATGGACTTGACTTATGCAGGCCATAGATGGTTTGAAAATCGGCGGATTTTTGCACTGTTAGTGGGTTATTTGGTCGGCTGTTTTTCGCACATTTTTTTTTCGGTCATGTTGGAAAATTCATGGCCGATTTTGACGATTGGCCGATTTTCCCAGCAATGATGGGCAAATCGGTCAATCGTTTTACCGATAAAAAAATCTGCGCATGAGCCTTGACCTGCAAGGGACAGAAGTTATGGGGTGAACTCTATGATTTTGTTGGCCGATTTTTTTTTTTTACTGTTGGTGGTAATGGCCGAATGAACGACCGATTTTTCGTTTTTGTTTTTTTTTTCCTGAAAAATCAGCTGATGTTCGACCCGCCTATGGCCTGCATTAGGCTGGCCATACACTATACAATTTTCTTGAGATTTTTGCTTTAGATTTGCCAAAAACCATATAATATGAGGTCAAACCTAAACAACAATTTAAATTGTATCCAATTAGGCAGGCCCTTGCACTACATAGTTGAAGGTAAATCTAAAGGAAATTGGGCAGAAATTGGACAGAAAATTGGCAGAAACTCCAATTACCACTTTATAAGCAGTTACAGCAACAGTTTTTGTTTCTTTTTGGGATAAAGATTTTACATAATTTAATAAAAGCTGATCATTGTAAGCACCTCCGTCATTGGTAAATTATTTGACTCAACCTTCTAACTGCCACTTTTACTGGACAGCTTGGCCTGTTAAGGGAAGGTAAAAAAAAAAAGCAACAGATCCACAGGCAGGATCCTCAGGTGAACATAAAGGGAAAAAGAAAGCTAAGGCAGCCAACACATCCAAGTATTGGTAAGCTGCAATATATAATATATTTTTGTTTTTGAGGCCATACATTTAACGAATGGGTAGGCTTCTTGGCCGACTCCGACCCAACATTTTTGATTGATCCAAGATGATTGAAAAAGTGGAGGAGCCAGATGGAAAACTGTCAGATGAACAGCGGCTACATCCAATGAGTTGCTGCCACAATAAAATATCCGGCACTGCAGATTCGTCCATACGTGCTGTATAGCCTGGATAGAGGAATCTGATCAGTTTTTTCTTTTATTATGCAGGCTGAATGAGAAGGATCAGTATCAGGGGCAGACTGACCATTTGGAAACTCGGGCACTGCCCGAGGGCCCGGGGTCAGTAGGGGGCCTCATGAGATGCCCCTGGTACCTTTTTCATAGGCTTTTTTGAGTTTGGGCAAGGACACAGGGGCCCCATTATCCCCTATTGCCCGGGGGCCCCATGAGTTGTCAGTCCGCTCCTGCCCTTTAATCACTTGTCCTTCTGAGGATTTATCCCTCCCTTCCTGACCAGGCCATTTTTTGCGAAATGGCGCTGTGTTACTTTAACTGACAATTGCGCGGTCATGCAACGCTGTGCATAAATTAAATGTACGTCATATTTTTTTCCCACAAATAGAGTTTTATTTTGGTGGTATTTGATCATCTCTGCATTTTTTATTTTTTGCTCTATAAACAAAAAAAGACTGACAGTTTTGAAAGAAAAAACTATTTTTGACTTTTTGCTATAAAACATATCCAGTAAAAAAATTTTAAAAATCAAATTTCATCATAAATGTATGTTCAAAATGTATTCTGCCCCTTGGGCAGTGCCTGAGTTTCCAAACGGTCAGTCCACCCCTGGCAAGGGGATTAGTGTGTGCCTAGCAAGTGTTAATTTGTGTAATGTTCTGCTTTTTACTAAAAATCTCTTTGTTTCTTCTCCCTGCTTTGATTGTTGATTGTCAATACAGGGCTCTGGGCTGTGATTGGACACAGCCGATCAGCAGGTCCCTGCCAATGATTCATGGTTGATAAAATCCCACTGACTCTGCCGACAAAATCCCGCTGCGGGCACATCTCCACCCACCGATGTCCATGGGGTATCCACGGGAAATGTGCGCATGTGTTCTGTACCCGGAGGAGGCCAGCCATGTACAGGTATGTCTTTGTGCCTGTACAGGCCACCCGTCTGATGTACATTGAGGGCAGGTAGTCCTCGAGTGGTTAAAGGACATGTAGGAGGGGGCAGTCAGGGTATGCTGGTCCTCCAGTACATATTACCTGCTTTCTGTTTGCAATGAGAATAATCGACACGGCTGCTCATTCTGGCACAATACCCTGCTTTGAGGACTTTTTCTGCATTACAAGCCCACGAGAAACTTTTCTGCATCACAAGACATGTAACTGTTACTAGTTTGCATCCTCCTTGATCTGCTGCCCCCTATTGGTGAGTCTCCATTCACATTTTTGTGTGGATGCCAAGCCCTATCATTCAGCACTTTCTAATCAAATGTCTGCAGCACGCCCTCCCATTCAACATTTCACAAGTCTGCTCTTTTCAGAGCTACAGCTGAGCCACAGACACCAACATGGCAGACAAGGCTTGTGAACCGTCCTCCAGTACTTCCTGTCTATGGGAGTTAGATCCTCGGAATAGCTGGCCTTGGCATTTCTCAGGTCCTGCTCTGGAGGCTTTCCTGTCTTTTATGTGGAAATAGAATTGGCTGAAATACCAGCCACGGTGACAAAAATGCACTTGATAATTTGTTTAGAGTGTATGTCACCCAATGTTGAAATTTTAGTTCAAATGCCATATATAATGTCAAAGTTTGGGTTCACCTTTTTCATGCTTTTGATGCTGTAAGGTGAGACAGTAGGACAACCAACTTTAGAGATTTTACTTTTTAGAATAGCATTTTGTTTTTCCTTTGGATGGCTTTCCATATGCTTCCATGTTTACTGATAACTTATGGCTCATACAGTATATAGAAGATATGTTTTTAAAACTCATTGATACAGTAGCAACCAATTCCCATTTACATCAGTCCACGGCAGCTATCAGACATTTTTGGGCCCCTTATATAGCTTTAGGCCTTAGCCCCCCCTGGGCCTGACCACCAACATTCCCCAGGACCCACCCACCGGCTGTCCCACCAAATCTGTCCACTGGCCATCCCACCGAGTCCCATCCCATGTCCTTCTACTTCACCATCCCAAGTCCTCCTCCTCCAGTCCCATCTCCCCCATCCCATGTCCTTTTTCTCCTGCAGTCCCATTTACTCCATCCCATGTTCTCCTCCTCTTCCAGTCCCATCTCCTCCATCCTATGTCCTCCTCCTATTCCAGTACCATCTCCTCCATCCCATGTCCTCCTCCAATTCCAGTCCCATCTCCTCCATCACATGTCCTCCTTCTATACTAGTCCCATCTCCTCCATCCCATGTCCTCCTGCTCCAGTCCCATCTTCTCCATTCTACGTCCTCCTCCCCCAGTCCCATCTCCTCCATCCTATGTCCTCCTCCTCCTCCCAGTCCCATCTCCTCCATCCCATGTCCTCCTCCTCCTCCAGTCCCATCTTCCCCATTCTACGTCCTCCTCCTCCAGTCCCATCTCCTCCATCCTATGTCCTCCTCCTCCTCCAGTCCCATCTCCTCCTTCCCATGTCCTCCTCCTCCAGTCCCATCTCCTCTCCCCACAGGAGGGGGGCAGTGGGACAGGTGAGGGGCAGCGGGATAAGTGGGGGGGGCAATGTGACAGAAGGGGAGCAGTGCAACATGTGGGGGGCACCAGGACAGGAGGAGGGGGCAGTTTTACAGGGGGGCAGCAGGACAGGTGGGGGGCAGCAGGACAAGAGGAGGGCAGTGTCACAGGAGGAGGGCAGTTTCACGGGAGGGGGGCAGCAGGAGAGGTGGGGGCAGCGAGGCAGGAGGGGGGCAGTGTCACAGGGAGTGTGCCATGTCACAGGGAGTGTAACAGAAGGGTGGCAGTAGGACAGGAGAGGGGCAGTTTTACAGGAGGGGGCAGCAGGACAGGAGGAGGGCAGCGAGACAGGAGGGGGGGTACTGTCACAGGGAGTGGGCAGTGTGACAGGAGGGGGGCAGTATAACAGGAGGGAGGCAGCAGGACATGATGGCAGGGTCACGGAGGCAGGGGGCAGTGGGTCAAGATGGCAGGGTCACAGGAGTGGGGCAGCAGGACAGGTTGGCAGGATCACAGGAAGGAGGCAGTCAGGGGCGGACTGACCATTTGGAAACTCGGGCACTGCCCGAGGGCCCAGGGTCAGTAGATGCCCCTGGTACCTTTTTCATAGGCTTTTTTGAGTTTGGGCAAGGACACAGGGGCCCCATGATCCCCTATTGCCCAGGGGCCCCATGAGTTGTCAGTCCACCCCTGGAGGCAGTACCACACACACATTGGGAAGCACCAGTCCTCCCAGCTTTCACCTGTCTTGCAGCGGTTCCTCCAGATGGTGTCAGTGGAAATGATATAGTGCCAGTGGCGTGGTAGCTGAGCCCGTAATGCATCTCTACCAGGATCTCCGGCAGCAGCTGCAACAAAGAGAGGCAGGTCTCCTCCACCTTGACCTTCTGCCTTTTCTTCCTCCTCCTTCATGAGGCCTTCTGCTGGCACCCCCTGGCCTGACCCAGGTCCCCTACGTGTGTATGGGCTGTCCCCCCTGATGGCGGCCCTGCATCAGTCCTCCAAAGGAGCTTTCAGTATAACGTATAGACACACATATACTGTACATTATAGCCAATCTGAGAGACAGTTAGCTGATTTACCAGAAGGTTTTAAAGCAGGGGTGTCATACTCAATGTTATTGCGGGCCACATCACCGTTATGGTTGCCCTCAAAAGGCCAATTGTATCTATAAAACTATATAAATGTATTTACTCTTTTATCATATTAAATGATTGCCTCTGCATTCAATTATTACTGGTTTTAAGTAATAACTTAAGGCTCCATTCATACTTGTGCGACTTGTTATGCGACTTTGTACACAAGTCGCATCCCATTGTTTTCAATGGCACCTATTCAGATTGGTGCAACTTAAAAGTCTCAGCAACTTTGAAAAGGTGCCTGCAGTACTTTGTTGTGAATCAAAGTCACATCAAAGTCGCACTCCAAAGTCGCACTGGAAATCATGCCACAAGTGTGAATGGGGCCTAAGACTTAGGCTGTGAAGGGCATGTGCAGACCAGCATGGAACCCATTCACATTCCTGTAGCAGAAAATGCTACAGAAAAAGTCTAAAAAAGAGGGTTGTACACCACTAGTATCATCCACGAGAAACGTTATTGGAGACTGCTCAGGTAGAATATGGTTCTGAATGGTGTTCTGTCTGAGCAGTCGCCAATACCAGCAGTGTGCAATCCTCCTTTTTCAAATGCCATAGAATTGTATTATTCTCATAATAATGATAATTAGATGTGCAGAGCACCCCACCCTTCTTACATCAGATGTCAAGAGTCCCCCACCATCAGAAGTCAAGAGTCCCCCACCCTCCCTTACATCACAGTGCACTCCCCTTACCTTGTGAAGCTGGGGGCTTAGCTGATAAGCAGAAGTGGAGGGTCCGGAGAGAACCAGAGGAGGGTCGGAGTCAGCTGCTAGAGTCTGCTGAATGCTGAAACTAGGGGAGGCAGAGATGAGGGGGTGCTTTGGCTGTGCAGGATCTGTAGGAGGAATTCTGTCCTCCTCTCTACTGTTGACTGCTGAGACAAGATGGGGACAGAGATGAGAGGGGGGTGCAGCAGCTGCAGGAGAGGTGTGAGGGACACATGAAAAGGGCCACATTAAATGGCCTGGACATATATGGCCCTCGGGCCATGTCTTTTAAAGAGAGACTAATGTGGGGAAAACAAAATTGCGAACAGGATTGCTTTTCTGCACTACAATACATTTACAGTACCTGCCTGTTCACACTCCTCTGTAGAATATACACTGAGATGTGCATGTGGAGGGACGTCAGCCCACAACAGCCAATGAAGTTGTCTGAAGACCTCTGCATGGGACCGCTGGAACTAGAGTAAGTATTTTTGCCTTTAGTTCCGCTTTAAGATTGTTGGAAGAAGCAATAAATCCAGAAGTAAGACATAAACATGGGAAAAACATAATCTATGACAAAATGTGATGTCCTTAGGGCAGCCTTTCTCACCCGGGGTTCTGTGGAACTCTAGGGTTCCTTCAGAAGTTGCTAAGGGTTCCTTGAGGTGTGGCTGATTTTCCATTTGATGGTGCCTGCATGGTTCCGGGGTCAACTCCACTTGGCAGAGCCATCTGCTTGATAATATTGATCTGTTTAGCTGTCTGTAAGGGTGTCATTCTTCCCACTGACCACCATTCTAAGGGGAACATTCTTCCTATTGACTGCCACTGTAAGGTGGACATTCTTCCCACTTACCACCACTGCAAGGAGGACGTTCTTCTCACTGACCACCACTGTAAATGGAACATTCTTCCCACTGACCAGCACTGTAAGGGGGACATTCTTCCCACTGGCCACCAATTTAAGGGTAGTTCTTTTGGGAATGTTGGGATATACTGGGGGTTCTTTTGGGAAAGTTTGAGAAAGGCTTCCTTAAGGAGACTCAAATATTCAAATGCTGCTCCTCCTGACCGGCGCTATTGGTCCTCCACTGTGACAGGTGACCTCACTGACCAATAGTGAAGTGAGGTATAGGGTAGAGCAGAGCTGTTTTCTGAAGTCAGGGTTTGTGTAATAGAGCACCCCAAAGTGTCAAAGTTCCTGAGGTGCTATGCAAAGTGTGTGAAACAAATTACTTTTGTATGTGTTATCCATCCAGTTGGTTCTTCGGCCAGCATGTCTGACACTGTGTAACTGAGAGAAACAAACAAAGGATTTCCCAGCAAACTTACCAGCCAGCCTGCAAAACCACCAAATTGGCCCTGTCTAACAGTTTGCATTAAAAACAGAGGGTTTTGTTTTCACACGTTTTCAAATGCATGCGTAAGCTGCTGTCAAGGGTCCTCTGTATACTGCAGTCCTAACATTTCCAGAGCCTCCACAGTTGGAGTACATATATCCGTGGATAGGTTAAGGACAGGTGTGCCTGGAGGAGCCCATCCCGCCTTAAAGGCACAGGGATGCAAGTGACACCCAGCTATAGTAAAATGACAGCGAAGGCATCCAGTGTGTCCCTGCATCCAAATACAATCCTTTTTGTAATGTGCATTTGTAATGTGCATTGCCCTTCCATGTGCACCTTGCTGCCAAGGCTGGTTATAGGTTGGGATGGTTGCCATTTTTTTTTGTACCATTGTATAACTGAGAGGCCTTTCCAAAGGCTCCAAATAATTTTTTGGTGAGTTTTTCTTTATATAAGGTAGATCACCAAGTCTTTTATATTTATCATGCTATATATGTATGTATAAATCAATCAGTCTATCTATCTGTCTATCCATCTATCTACGGATTGATTTCTTATCTATCTATCTTTTGTCTCATTCTATGATATAGATAGATAAGAGATCAATCCGTAGATATATAGACTATATATTTATTGAACTATATCTGATCAATCTATTCTGCATTCTGCGCAGCGTATATTTGTCTATTGATCTATTATCTTTCTATAACCTATCTTTCTATTTGTCTATATTCTATATTCTATCTATCTATCTATCTCTAATCTTTTGATCGATTTCTCAGCTATCTCTAATCTATCTATTGATAAACCTCTAGTCTGTCTGTCTATCTATCTATCTATCTATCTATCTATCTATCTATCTATCTATCTTTTATCTCATTCTGTGATATATCTATTAATTGAACTATATCTGATCCAGGGGCGGACTGGCCATTCAAGTACTTGGACACTGCCCAAGGGCCCGGGGTCAGTAGGGGGCCCCATGAAATGCCCCTGGTACATTTTTATAGGCTTTTTTTGAGTGTGGGCAAGGACACAGGGGCCCCATGACCCCCTAGTGCCCGGGGGCCCCATGAGTTGTCAGTCCGCCCCTGATCTGATCAATCTGCTCTGCATTCTGCACAGCGTATATTTGTCTGTTGATCTTTTATCTATCTATAACCTATCTTTCTATTTGTCTATATTCCATCTATCTATCTATCTATCTATCTATCTATCTATCTATCTATCTATCTACCAATTTATTTCTAATTATCTATCTATCTATCTATCTATATATCTATATCTATATCTATATATCTGATTGATTTATAATATATATCCATTTATTGAATCTATCATCTATCTATCTATCTATCTATCTATCTATCTATCTATCTATCTATCTATCTATCTATCTATCATCTTTTGATCGATTTCTCAGCTATCTCTAATCTATCTATTGATAAACCTCTAGTCTGTCTATCTATCTATCTATCTATCTATCTATCTATCTATCTATCTATCTATCTTTTTTCTCATTCTGTGATATATGTATTTATTGAACTATATCTGATCAATCTACTCTGCATTCTGCACAACGTATATTTGTCTGTTGATCTTTTATCTATCCATAACTGTTTGTCTATATTCCATCTATCTATCTATCTATCTATCTATCTATCTATCTATCTATCTATCTATCTATCTACCTATCTTTCTGTGATATATCTATTTATTTACCTATATCTGATCAATCTATCTGTCGTTCTGCACAGTAAATACTTGTTAATTGATGTACCTATGTGTTTACATAACAACCACTATTCTGTCAGTTTATCTATCTATCTATCTATCTATCTATCTATCTATCTATCTATCTATCTATCTTTGTTTTTTTTCTCTTTCTTTCTCTTCTGTTCTTTTTTTTCTCTATTACAGTTATTGAAGTAAAGCTATAAATCACCTTTTTTATGGCAATGAAGTAAAAGCCGTACTTTCGCTACACAGTGTACAATAAGTGGTTCTGATCCAGTCCTGTTATTCTCCTATGTGTGCCCTCCCTTCCTCCATTGTCAGTGGTGAAGTAGTGTGGTTGGACAAAGGGTGCCTTCCCCAGGCACAATAATATCATGTATCATTTTTTTTTTTCAGGCATTGCTAAGTTTTAAAGGAAACGACTTTGCGGAGACAGCAGAACAAAGGAGATTGGCAGGCCAGCTGCTTTTGGGGAGAGAGAGAGAGAAAAGGAGAAAGCCAGAGAGGGGGCGAAAAAAAAAAAAAAAGCTTCCTGCTCCTTTAAATCAGCTCATCTGTGTGGCTGGGGCAGGGAAGTCTTTTTGGCTGTGTGAGGCAGTCTGCTTGTAACAGGCGGCTCGCTGACTGATCTCACTAACAGGGCTTCTGTGTAAGCTGAGGCTAAACAAACACAGATGGAGCCCTGTGTGCCTTCCCCAAAAATGTTGGCAATGCGGCAGGGACATCAAATGACACTCTGACTTGCACGGCACACAGTCCTACCATGCCGGGCGAGGAGACCTGACTTGGGCTGGGAAGCTTGCAATTGTTTTATTCTCCTCAAGTGAAGCCAATAAAAGATTTTCCTTCAACTCCCCCCGAGTGGCCACCGCAGGACGCTTGTCCATCATGAGGAACCTCCAGATCCTAGAGGATCCCCAGTGGAAGGGCCACTGCATCAAGGACATCTCCGGCCTCAAGAGGCTGAAGAAGAAGAGCAGGGAGGTCATCAAGCCAATCAATGGCTACCAAACTTTTAAAGTGGACTTGAAAGTGGACGCCGGCTTAAAGGGGGCCGCTCAGCCCAGACCCGACGCCGAGCTGATGGACGGGCAGCCGAAGAGGGAGCGGAGGATGCTCTGGATTTGAGGAGCGTAGCCGCCCCGGGGAAAAAGGGGTTGTTGGCCACCGGCAGCCTGGAGTCGAAGCCCTACGGGGATCAAAGGTTGCCGTCCAGGATTGTGGTGTGCCAGCGACCACCCGAGACCTCCTACCTGTCAGTCTCTCAAGTCACCTACGACAACAGCAGCCCAGACCCCTGCTCATCGCCTAGGAAACGGCTGGGGGAGCCAGCAGGCGTCTCTTCGGAGATCAAAGCCATCCAGCAGACAAGGAGGCTGCTGGCTAATGCCAGGGAGAGAACCAGAGTGCACACCATCAGTGCAGCCTTTGAGGCTCTCAGGAAGCAGGTACAGAGTTGTCTGTGTCCCCCTTGTAGCGCCTTGCGACATACGGCACGCCATCAGTGGGCTGGGGTGGGATGGCACATGTCACTTCATCCAGCCCGGGGCTTATTTAATAACACAAAGAGCAATCCCACCATGTAACCTACAGCATGGCTAATGCCCAAGTGCAAAAAAAGAAAAAAAAAACAAAAAAAAACCACCGTCCTAGAATACTGATGACAGGTAAGGCAGCAACGATGTGTAAAGTATAGTAAAACCAGAGCAACCAATCCGATCTTACCTTTTCTCTGCCTGGAGTAAAGGTGTTTTCTGATTGGTTGCCATGGGCAACATCTTAGATTGTACTTTTACTTATAAAAAAAAAGGACCACTGTCGTGAAATATATTGTATTCTAATAACTGTATTTCATGTAATGATAGTATATTTAGTATATATTTTTTATTATTATTATTGGTTATCAGTTTATTCATTACTATTGTTCCACGTGCCTCTATTTGATATCACAGTTAAATGCAGCCTGAGGGTGAATTGGACCGTATCACATCAAATCAATTCTGCAGCACAGGTATTGCACACAGCCATTTGCACAAATGAATTCTAGGATGCGACTTTATGATTATTATTATACAGGATTTATATAGAGATAATAATATTATTATTATTATTATACAGGATTTATATAGAGATAATATTATTATTATACAGAATTTATATAGAGATAATATTATTATTATTATTATTATATACAGGATTTATATAGAGATATATTATTATATTATTATTATACAGGATTTATATAGAGATAATATTATTATTATTATACAGGATTTATATAGAGATAATATTATACAGGATTTATATGGCGCCAACAGTTTGCTCAGCACTTTACAATATAACGGGAGACAATACAGCAACAATACAGTTCACTACAAGAGGGAAAGGAGGGCCTGATCCTGGGAGCTTACAATCTATGCAGGAATTGCAGCTCTAAGCATAGACACACGCATGTGTACAGGTTTATAACTCTGAATGCAGATAGTTTGCATTTTGGGGGTTGTACACCCAAGTACAAGTGTATACGTATACTGTGGATATACCATGTACTCTATAGGATAGTGTATATGGAGGTTTTCTATTCGTCTGTGGGTTTGGGTTTTTTTGCTTTTTTTTCTGTTGCTTGTACTGGATGTCTTTTAAGATTCATTAAGATTAAGGCTGGCCATACATTATACAATTTTCTTGAGATTTTTGGCTTACATTTACCAAAAACCATATAATATGAGGTCAAACCTAAATGACACTTTCCATTGTATCCAATTAGGTAGGCCCTTGCACAACATAGTTGAAGGTAAATCTAAATGAAATTGAACAGAAAATTGTACATGTAGGCATTTTGTATCATGGGCAGAATCACTTCCTTTCTGCCAGCGATTCCAAAATGCTCTGCAAAACTGACAAATCACACCACGCTTGCTCAGGTGCCATTCATTTTCAGTTGGTTATTCTGGCGCGATTGTCACATGATAAATCGCAGCAAACCTTGTTGTTCAAAAAGGAGCCAGAACTTATTTGGGGCAACAAGCTTTGTGTGATGCGTTTTGCTGCGATTGCAGCGGGATTTATCATGTGACGATCGGGGCAGAATCGCAACCATGTTTAGGTGCCATTAAAAACGGATGGTGCTTGAAGAAGCATGGTGCGATTTGTCAGTCGCAGTGTGGGGAATGGAGCCTTTCTTACCTGCCTTTGCAATCTTCTGTAGAATGTACACTGAGCTGCGCATGTGCAGCTCAGTGTGTACATTCTTGGTCTGTCTCTGGACCAAAATGAACGCCCGTATGCATGTGCAGGAGTTACATCATCCTGCGCTGGCCAATCAAGGCGCCCAAAGATCCTGCACCTGGAAGAAGCCGCACCTGGAGAGGGATTTTGCATTGCTGGAGAAGAGGTGAGCATTTGTAGACCTCATTTCTGCTATAGGGCAAGTTCACACCATGCCTGGAGCTGAATCGCATGAGAACCCGCTGTGCGTTCCTCTGTGATTCACTTGCAGCTCTGTGCCATGCGATTTCAAGCCCAATCATTATGAATGGGCTAAAATCGTACCACACTACTCCAAAAGTAGTGCATGCACTGCTTTTTAAAACGCACTGTAACCAGATTGCATGGTACAAAAGTACCATGCAATCTGGTGCGGGCAAACGCGCTACATCTGTGACTTGCGTTTGGGGCGTCGTAAAACTTGTATTGACACCCGCTGCAGATCGCAAAGGCAGTGCGTTTGACATTCGGGTTGAATTGCACAGGAACGCACAGCGCATTCCTGTGCGATTCAGCTTTGGGCATGAATTGAACAGGCCCTTAGCCCTCGTTCACACCATACATGCAGAAAAACGGATAGAAACTGATGAGCAGATTTCACTTGCAGACACATCCGTTTTCATGCACGCTTCAGTTAGTTTTATACACGTTGCAGAAAAAATCCACACGTGATACCAGTGTTGTGGTATGAACAGGGCACATAGAGAACAACTAATTTTGTTGTGCCCTTGCAGAATGTGTGTGTTAAAAAACTGACGTCTCTGCAACATGGTGTGAACGAGGCCTTAAAGCTGGGCTAAACCCATCAATTTACCAGTTTCAAAAAACAGTTACGTTCCTGGCATGTGCTGAGAACAGGACTGACAACTCATGGGGCCCCTGGGCAATATGGGATCATGGGGCCCCTGTGTCCTTGCCCAAACTCAAAAAAGCCTATGAAAAAGGTACCAGGGGCATCTCATGGTGCCACCTACTGACCCTGGGCCCTCGGGCAGTGCCTGAGTTTCCAAATGGTCAGTCCACCTCTGGCTGAGAATGATAACTGTCACATTTTCTTGAGTGCTGTCAACCAAACTGGCAAGCCATCAAGTGTCTGGTGTCATAATTGAAGATCCAACACAGGCTAAGATGGCAGCTTCCTTGGCTGAAAACAATAGGAGGGTTTGAACCATGGCAATGAAAGGAGTGTCTTGTATGCACCTGTGGTATTGTTATAGTTTGTCCCAACCTTCGTCCCTTTTGCTGGACAGCAGCATATGCAAAATAATATAAAGATCTATTAAGCCCTTGGGGCCCCTCCCACCAGCTTCTGATCAAAAACGGTGACCAGGAGCTATTGGTGACAGCTCAGTCACAGTGCTGTGGTTGGGTCTTCAGCACAGAACAGTGGAGCCGACTGACACATATATGCAAGTACAGCCAGCGTGAAGGTCCACCCATAGTGGTAATGCATATCTGTGGTACGATGGTGAGAAAGAAAATTAAATTACACTGCTCAAAACAATTAAAGGAACACTTTGTAATCAGAGTATAGCGTCAAATCAATTAAACTCCTGGGATATTGATCTGGTCAGGTAAGTAGCAGAGGGGGTTGTTAATCAGTTTCAGCTGCTTTGGTGTTAATGAAATAACAACAGTTGCACTAGATGGGCAACTGTGAGACGACCCCCAAAACAGGAATAGTTTTAAAGGTGGAGGCCACGGACATTTTTTTCCCTACTCATCTTTTCTGAATGTTTCTCACTAGTTTTTCATTTGGCTAGGGTCATTGTCACTACTGGTAGCATGAGGCGATATCTGGACCCTACAGAGGTTGCACAGGCAGTCCAACTCCTCCAGGATGGCACATCAATACGTGCCATTGCCAGAAGGTTTGCTGTGTCTCCCAGCACAGTCTCAAGAGCATGGAGAAGATTCCAGGAGACAGGCAGTTACTCTAGGAGAGCTGGAAAGGGCCATAGAAGGTCCTCAACCCATCAGCAGGACCGGTATCTGCTCCTTTGTGCAAGGAGAAACAGGATGAGCACTGCCAGAGCCCTACAAAATGACCTCCAGCAGGCCACTGGTGTGAATGTCTCTGACCAAACAATCAGAAACAGACTTCATGAGGGTGGCCTGAGGGCCCAACATCCTCTAGTGGGCCCTGTGCTCACTGCCTGACACCGTAGAGCCTGATTGACATTTGCCATTGAACACCAGAATTGGTAGGTCCACCACTGGCACCCTGTGCTTTTCACAGATGAGAGCAGGTTCACTCCTGAGCACATGTGACAGATGTGAAAGGGTCTGGAGAAGCCATGAAGAACGTTCTGCTGCCTGTAACATCGTTCAGCATGATTATTTTGGTGGTGGGTCAGTGATGGTCTGGGGAGGCATATCCATGGAGGGACGCACAGACCTCTACAGGCTAGACAATGGCACCCTGACTGCCATTGAGTATCGCCAGGTTGCACCTCAGACTCTCCAGGAGCTCAGTGATGCCCTGGTCCAGATCTGGGAGGAAATACCCCAGGACACCATCCATCGTCTCATTAGGAGCATACCCTGATGTCAAGCATGCATACAAGCACGTGGGGGCCATACAAACTACTGAGGACCATTTTGAGTTGCTGCAATGAAATGTCAGGAAAATGCATAATTTTTTCTCTTTGATTTTCGGGGTATCTTTGAATTCAGTCCTCTGTAAGTTGATAATTTTCATTTCCATCAAACGATGGGGCATCCTTACATTCCTAACACATTACCCAGTCCATATCAGTATAGATATCCAGCAGAAGATTTTTCCGCATTGAGATCTGATGTGCTTTTAAAGTGTTCCTTTAATTTTTTTTGAGCCATGAATAATAAATATAAATGTGAAATAAAAAAAAGGATTTTATATATTGGCTACTATCATTACATACATACAGTGAGGATCGAAAGTTTGGGCACCCCAGCTAAAAATTTGTATTAATGTGCATAAAGAAGCCAAGGAAAGATAGAAAAATCTCCAAAAGGCATCAAATTACAGATTAGACATTCTTATAATATGTCAACAAAAGTTAGATTTTATTTCCATCAAAATAACAGAAAACAAAAAAATGGCGTCTGCAAAAGTTTGGGCACCCTGCAGAGTTAATATCTTGTACTGCCCCCTTTGGCAAGTATCACAGCTTGTAAACGCTTTTTGTAGCCAGCCAAGAGTCTTTCAATTCTTGTTTGAGGTATCTTTGCCTATTCTTCCTTACAAAAGTCTTCCAGTTCTTTGAGATTTCTGGGCTGTCTGTCACGCACTGCTCTTTTAAGGTCTATCCATAGAATTTCAATTATGTTGAGGTCAGGAGATTGTGAAGGCCATGGCAAAACCTTCTGTTTACGCCTCTTGATGTAATCCCCTGTGGATTTCGAGGTGTGTTTAGGATCATTATCCATTTGTAGAAGCCATCCTCTCTTTAACTTCAGCTTTTTCACAGATGGCATCAAGTTACCATCCAAAATTTGCTGAAATTTTATAAAATCCATTTTTCCTTCTACTCGTGAGATGTTCCCTGTGCTACTGGCTGCAACACAACCCCAAAGCATGATTGATCCAACCCCATGCTTAACAGTTGGACAGAGGTTCTTTTCATTAAATTCTGTGCCCCTTCTTCTCCAAACGTACCTTTGCTCATTCCGGCCAAAATGTTTCCAAAATGCATCAGGCTTGTCTATATGTTCATTTGCAAAGTTCAAACGATGATTTTTGTGGTGAGGACGTAGAAGAGGTTTTCTTCTGATGACTCTTCCATGAAGACCATATTTGTACAAGTATCTCTTTATAGTGGAATAGTGTACCACAACTCCAGTGTCTGCCAGATCTTTCTGGAGGGATCGTGCAGTCAAACGTGGGTTTTGAATTGTTTTTCTCACAATCCTGCGAGCTGTTCTGTCTGATATTTTTCTTGGTCTTCCAGATCTTGCTTTAACTTCTACTGTTCCTGATGACTGCCATTTCTTAATTACATTCCGAACAGAGGATATTGACATCTGAAAACGCATTGCTATCTTCTTATAGCCTTCTCCAGCTTTGTGAGCATCAACTATTTTCAGTTTCAGCTTTCTAGACAACTGCTTAGAAGAACCCATGGTGCTGATTGTTGGGGCAAGGTCAGATAAGTCTGGGCATTTAAAACCTTTGAGATTGACATCACCTGGTCTTCCTAGACAATGATTGAGAACAATCCATGACACTGGCAGGTCTCAGCTTGGCAAAGGGGGCAGTGCATGCTATAAATTCTGCAGGGTGCCCAAACTTTTGCAGACGCCATTTTTTTGTTTTCTGTTATTTTGAAAGTGTAAATGATGGAAATAAAATCTAACTTTTGTTGAAATATTATAAGAATGTCTAATCTGTAATTTGATGGGTTTTGGAGACTTTTCCATCTTTCCTTGGCTTCTTTATGCACATTAATACAAATTTTTAGCTGGGGTGCCCAAACTTTCGATCCCCACTGTATATTAATTACAGTTGTCAGAATATTTTTTTTCACAATAGTGGTCTTTTAAATAAACCCAAAAAAGGTTTATTTAGTAATACGAAGCAGATAACAATATACATTATATATATGTAACCAGCTCACAGCAGAATAGCTGATGATTTCACCTTCTGATTGGTTGCTGTGGGTTACAGAACACTGCTGTTCATGTACTTACCATCACTGCTTACATAACAATCTAATGGATTGCTACACTACATGAACAGAACTGTCATTCTTTCTTATAAGCCAAAAAATGCGACTTTGGACACATAAAGGGTCCTGCGCTACTTTGCTGTGACTTTGATGCTACTTGAGTGACTTTGATGCTACAGAGTGTGTAAAGTTGCATCAAAGTCGCACCATAAGAACAGAAATGTCATACTTTCCTATTAGCCATGAAAAAAGAAAAACGCATTAAAAAAAACGTGTGTTCAAAAGTGCAATTCGCACCAGAAAATGCACTAGAAAAGTGCATCAATCGCAACTCGCATAGATGTGAACCTAGCCTTAGACAGAAAAATGGCTTCTGAATAATTGCAAGTGTGTCAGGATCAGAGGCGGACTGACCATTTGGAAAGTCGGGCACTGCCCAAGGGCCCAGGGTCAGTAGGGGGCCCCACGAGATGCCCCTGGTACCTTTTTCATAGGCTTTTTTGAGTTTGGGCAAGGACACAGGGGCCCCATGATCCCCTATTGCCTGGGGGCCCCATGAGTTGTCAGTCCACCCCTGGTCAGGATGAAATAAAAAGAGTTCTAATGGTAAAATTGTGTTGCATTGAGCAACTAACTACCCCTGACTGTCCGCAATCTGTATATTAAGGGTAGATTTAGAAACGTGTCTAGATCTCCCTTGCCTCTGAAGCCTGATATAGAGGCTACTGGAAGAAGGTAAGGAAGCAATTTGAGGCTATATTATTATTATTATTATTATTATACAGGATTTATATAGCGCCAACAGTTTGCTCAGCACTTTAAAATATAAATGGAGACAATACAGCAACAATACAGTTCAATACAAGAGGGTTAGGAGGGCCCTGATCCTGGGAGCTTACAATCTAAGAGGGAGGGGCTGGTGGTACAAAAGGTAATAACTGTGGGGGATGGATTGGTAGGAGGAATAGAAGATTCTGTTATTAGCTGAAGGCAGGATAGGCTTCCCTGAAGAGATAAGTTTTCAGAGATCGCCTGAAATTGATCAGAGTAGAGTTTCAGAGGATGGGGAGGGGGGTGCTCTGGAGAAGTCCTGGAGACGACCATGGGAGGAAGAGACAAGGAAGCTAGAGAGCAGGAGGTCGTAGGAGGAGCGGAGAGGACGGTTTGGGTCATATTTGGAGACAAGATCGGTGATGTAATTTGGGGCAGAGTTATAAATGGCTTTATATGTTATTGTTAATGTTTTGAATTGTATCCGTTGGGCAATGGGAAGCCAGTGGAGGGATTGGCAGAGAGGGATGGCAGATACAGAACGGTTAGTAAGGTGGATGAGTCTGGCAGCAGCATTCATGATAAACTGAAGAGGGGATAGCCTGCGATGAGGTAGGCCAATGAGGAGGGAGTTACAATAGTCAAGGCGAGAGATAACAAGGGAGTGAATAAGTTGCTTAGTAGTTTCAGAGGTTAAGAACGGGTGTATCTTGGAGATGTTGCGGAGGTGAAGTCTACGAGATTTGGACAGTGATTGAATTTGGGGCTGAAAGGACAGATGGGAGTCCAGGATTACACCTAGCACCCTGGCATGAGGGGAGGGAATGATGATTGTATCTTGATCTTGATGGAGAAGTCAGGGCAGGGGGCACGGGCTGGAGGCAATATTATGAGCTCAGATTTAGAAAGATTGAGTTTAAGGAAGTGGAGTGACATCCATGCTGATATGTCACTTAGCAGGTTAGTAATGCGAGAGGAGACTGAAGGGGCGAGGTGAGGAGTAGAGAGATAGATTTGTGTGTCATCCACATAGAGATGGTACTCAAGTACTCAAGAGCCATGGGAGTTTATCAAGTGACCAAGCGAGGAGGTGTAGATGGAGAAGAGAAGGGGTCCAAGGACGGAACCTTGAGGTACCCCTACAGAAAGAGGAAGTGGAGAGGAGGAGACAGAACTATAGGTAATGTTGAAGGAGCGCTGCGATAGGTAGGAGGAGAACCAGGAGAGAGCAGAGTCTCTGAGGCCAAGAGAGTGGAGTTTTTTGAGGAGGAGGGGATGGTCAACAGTATCAAAAGCCACAGAGAGGTCAAGTAGTAAGAGTACGGATTAGTGGCCATTAGTTAGTTAGCAGTTAGTAAATCATTAGTGAGTTTTAGTAGGGCATAATGAGTTTTATGAAGAAGGAGATCGGCAATGGCAGCCCCTGTATTTCACTAATGGCATATGCACTTTACAAATGATAGCCCTGCAAAAAAAAAAAGGTGTCTGTGCCATTTAAGCAACAAGTTTTCAAGACTGTTCCCTGTAAAAGGGATACCTTAGCGCAGTTTTTCGTATGGGGCTCAAATGTTTACTTTAAAACCCATCTCTGGCCACATCCTTTATTTTTTAAAGAGGAACTCTCCCTCTCCAACAAAAGAAATGCCCTTTACCTCTTGACTCCTTGCACTGTATAAACATACTTCAAACCTAGTGAATCCATAGCTGTCCTGTTCTCCAATCCCATGCCACCATCTTTCATCATCAGGGGACCAGCTGTCTCTTCCCGGTTCTTGCAGCCAGCTCCCATAATGACACTCCCTGCGCATGCGCATCTGTTTTAGATTGCCCCGAAACCTGGAATGTGTGATGTGGGTTTTCCAGGAGGCTGCAGGGAGCTGCATCAATTGGATTTTTATTACAAAAACAATATTTGGACGAAAAAAATTTGTACATGTATAAATAGAGGAGGGAGCAACATTACAAAAAATAGAAAAGCAGAGAGAAGGTCCGTTTTAAAGAGGCGTTCTGGTCAGTTATAACAAATTAAAAGTCAACAGCTACAAATACTATAGCTGCTGACTTTTAATAAACAGACGTTTACCAACCCCGGGATTCAACGATGTCCTCTCCTGAGCCGGTTCTTCACTGCTCTTCAGGTCCTCGCGGCCGCCATCTTGCTTGTGAGAAGCTGGCAGTGACTTCCTGGTGTCTCACAACCGGTTTCCCACTGCGCATGCACAAGATGCACTGAGCTTTCTCAATGGCCGCGCAGTCTCTTGGGGCATGTGACGTATCCTTGGAGGTTTCGGCTGGGGGGGAACCTTTCGTTCTGCTCTCCTGGGCAAGCAGATCAGAAGTGGGAATGAGTACCAGTCAGAAATAGGTACCCGCTCCCAGAAAAAAATAAACTCTCCAAAAGGAGGATGAGCGGAACTTCCCTTTTCAGGTGAAGTTCCACTTTAAGCCCCGGGTCACACCGGTGCAATTTGTCATGCAACCTAACAGATCAAATTCGCACTCTATTTGCCGCAATGCAACTGTTCAAATCGGTGCAACTCAAGTCGCAGCAACTTTGAAAAAGGTTCCTACACTATTTTTGCACGATTTCATGTGTGGCTTGCATTGACATCTGTATAAATGAAGTCGCACTGATGACGCACATGAACTCGCACAGATTGACAGCTTTGAAATCATATGGAAGTAACGCAACTTCAAAGTCGCATTCAGTGTGAACCAAGTGTAAGTTATGAATAAAGTGAAATAAAGCCGCTAAGGTTTTTACTGATGTCTCCACTGCACTGATTACTGCCCACATCTGGTTTTGGTAACAGGAGATCTAACCCTTCCCCAGGATTAGAGCTCCATATTCATCTTTGGACTTTTTGATAGCTTCACTGAAAGCTTGCCTGTGTAAAGTCCTGACTTGTTTCAATATATAGCAAAAGTATCATTTATAGAAAATCTCTACCTACCTAAAGCTATCCTTTAGCTCCATTCCAATGCCTAGGCTGAGATGATATCATCAGTCTGCCGCAGGCAGGAAGAATCCCTTCCTAAGTCTCCTCTCTTCCAGTGATCACACTGTACATTGTAACTTTGTAGTAAGTCCCAAGGTGTGAGGCCGCTGCAGAGGCTGATGTGTGTTAGACATTTGTGAACACCACCAAGAACTGCACAAGCACCAGGATTTACATGATTACATCACAGCATTTTACTTCAGAATGTAGATGACTGACCCTGGATAAAGCCTGAACAAAGATGGGCTATCCTTCTGGGAAATAAAAAAAGGAGAAGGCATTGTCAGGAGAAGTTATTTGATCTCTGAGAGGTAATACATTCCTGAAATTGTTACTTTTACCAAAAAATATATCTGATACTAGGACCACTAAGTCCTCGTAAACACTGGATGTTTTTGCTATCTCTCCTAGATGCCTTTCCTCCTGGCAGCAGCATTTTGGCAGAAAATGATGCTTGTAAACGTGTGTAATGCGTTTAGGAGCATCAAGAGCTTGAGTGTTCATTCATTTCATTGGCCAGAATAATTATTCATTCTGGGCATTGAAATTACTTATTGCTCAGGTGCTAAATGCCCCTTGCATTAAGGCGCGTTTAGACGTGTTTACACGCGTTCAGGCATGTCAAGTGTTTTTTCTGCTGCTCCTGAACACGCTGATGTATGGGGACACTCTGATGGGGGAAACCTGATGTATGTATGGGGGCACTCTGATGGGGGAAACCTGATGTATGTATGGGGGCACTCTGATGGGGGAAACCTGATGTATGTATGGGGGGGCACACTCTGATGGGGAAACCTGATGTATGTATGGGGGCACTCTGATGGGGGAAACCTGGTGTATGTATGGGGGGGGCACTCTGATGGGGGAAACCTGATGTATGTATGGGGGCACTCTGATGGGGGAAACCTGATGTATGTATGGGGGCACTCTGATGGGTCACCTGATGTATGGGGGCACTTTGATGGGGACACCTGATGTATGGGGGGGGGCACTTTGATGGGGACACCTGATGTATGGGGGCACTCTAATGGGGACACCTGATTTATGGGGGCACTCTCTAATGGGGACACCTGATGTATAGGGGCACTCTGATGCGGACACCTGCTGTATGGGGACACCTGATTTATGAGGGCACTCTGATGGGGACATATGATGTATGTATGGGGGCACTCTGATGGGTCACCTGATGTATGGGGGCACTTTGATGGGGACACCTGATGTAAGGGGCACTCTAATGGGGACACCTTAGATATGGGGGCACTCTGATGGGGACACCTGCTGTATGGGGACACCTGATTTATGGGGGCACTCTGATGGGGACACCTGATTTATGGGGGCACTCTGATGGGGACACCTGATTTATGATGGCACTCTGATGGGGACACCTGCTGTAATGGGAACACTTGATTTATGGTGGCACTCTGATGGGGACACCTGATTTATGGTGGCACTCTGATGGGGACACCTGATTTATGGTGGCACTCTGATGGGGACACCTGATGTAAGGGGGCACTGTGATTTTGGCAGCTGATATATGGGAGTACTATGATGGGGGAATCTGATATTTGGGGGCACCTTGCTGGGGACACCTGATGTAAGGGTACACTGATGGGGGAACCTCATGTATGGTTACACCAGATGAATGGGGGCACTCTGGTGGGGACACCAGTAATTCTATCACTAGACCTTCTCAGTAAATCTACAGTGGTAACT